GTGTGTGTGTGTATGTGTGTGTGTGTGTGTGTGTGTGTGTGTGTGTGTGTGTGTGTGCGCGTGTGTGTATATAGCTATTTTTAAGCAAATACATGGAAGAAATCTATTCCACCAAACTGTAATACCTTTCATCTTTCCACATAGCCTATGTTGCAAATTAATATTATGTAGATAAAGATAAAATCCTTCAATGTCCCTGTTAAACACCATTGTCAAAGAACATTCATGTATGGAAAAAAAAAAGAAACCAAAAGGAAAACTAAATCAAGAAAATTAACGATAAAGTTGAACAGCTAAATTAAGGTTGGAGTAATGGAGTATTGACATTAAATAGTGCAAATATAAATAAAGAGTTATTCAGGTCTTTCCAGCTTGCCCACTGTTTTAAATAAAATTAAATAAATAAAATGTGAAAGGAAATGCATTTAATTGTAAAAAGAAATATTCTCAATGTTTCAATTAAAATCAACGTTACTTATTTCATATTTTAAATTTTTTTATTAAAGCGATAATCTTTGGCACAAACTACGTCGGAACTGAATTCACAAGTTGAAGGCTGCGACGAGCCAACTTCACAGTAACACGCAGACGTCATTGACTATTACCGATAACCCTTGTTTGGTAAGTTTAATGGATGGAAAATCACCTTATCGTTTGACGTGGTCGCTGACAAATATTAAATTAGTCTTGGCTTTTCGTTGCATTAAGAGGGGTCGACATGCCACGCTTGATTTTCGACATACACTGACGACACCTTGGTTGAATGCTAAATAAGCTAACTAGCTATTTTGCTGCACGTTTCGACAGGTTATAGTCATCAAAGTTTAGTTAACTTGCAAGTGCATGTGCCTCATTGGTGTCAGTTGTTCGGATGTGGTTTGAACCGGCGAACTTTTTCTTCGCTTTTGGGAAGAAAAAAAAATCCATATCAGCTAATGCTGTTATCTCAGATCACAAGGCCTTGAAAGTCAAAACGACATCATATATGCCAGTGAAAATCCCGCTTGCCTGATTTACATTTCGCAGAAGATTCCTGGATGTTTGTGTTGACTCGTTTTTGCGGAATAACCCATCCATTTGCTTTAATGTTTAACCTGTACTGGCCAGGAATATCCACTCGGGGGAGCCAAAGCTGTAACCTGCACAGTTTAAGCCAATGACAATGGAACCACATACAAGGTTCCGAAGTTACTTTTTTTTTGGGGGGGGGGGGTTGTTTTGCGAGAGTAGTACATTGTCGCACGTCACAAAAAGTCACCCTCAGTTCCCACAGTTGCTCACTGTTTTTCATTTGATTGTAAAGCCGTTTCAATCCTAGCCTAGTTTTTAATACAAGTACACTCCTTGTCCTCACTACACTTTTAAAAACTGCTGAGTTAAATTCAATGCAACCCAAATTGGGTGAAATATCTAAACCAGCGCTTGAGTCCTAAAGGGACCTACCTAGGGATGACTCAATCACACCTTTTTGGTGCCCGAGTCCGAGTCGTTGGCGCGAAGGAAATGCCGATACTGGACCCTTTGATCATGTCCTACCACCATTGAAGACATGTCAAAAAATTTTTTGACTGTGAAACCGTATGATTACTTAATCACCTCCTTATTACATATGCAGTGCACTACAAACTGATGGTAACATAGGGGATTTGGTAACAAGAAAATACTTGCAATATCTCATCGTTATTTATAACATATGACACTTTGAAATTTCGGTGCATAACTCAGTGTTTTTGTGTGTGTGTGTGTGTGTGTGTGTGTGTGTGTGTGTGTGTGTGTGTGTGTGTGTGTGTGTGCGTGCGTGTGTGACAGAGATCTTCCTCTGTAGGTGAGCTGCAATGGCAAAAGCGGGGACAGGTGTTGATCTCACCAGGAAGTTTGTTTCAGAAGCCGAGCTTGACGAGAGGAGGAAAAAAAGACAGGAGGAGTGGGAGAAAGTTAGGAAGCCTGATGACCCTGAGCGTAAGATCACTTCCAAAAATCCTCAACAAAAGACTCCTGTGGATCAATTCTAAATAGCTGCAAATACTGTACCCGTTTCTTTCTTCTTGTGCAGAGGTCCCTGAGCAAGAGTATGACTCGCGTTCTCTCTTTGAGCGTCTGCAGGAGCAGAGAGACAAAAAGCAAGAGGAATTTGAGGAACAATTCAAATTCAGTGGGTATTGGCATGTTGTTTTGAAATGTTCAGCGTCTCCACCATGATTTTTTTTTCTTCCTTTTGCTTTTGCTCTCTGATTGTTCTAACATAATAAGCCCATGATTTTTTATTTTTTTTTTTTTTTGTGGAACTCAACTCATGGCATTTGATTTGTAATGTCAATCGCAGATGAACTGCGGCACAGTATCGAAGCTCTATTGAGCCAAACTGTGCAAAGTCGACCGTAAAGGAGTTCACGCAGATCCTCGCACACAGGCATGGATGACAATATTTGCAGTCAAACGGATCAGTGTGCACTCTGCAGATACCAAAAGTATGAATTCGCCTCAAATTGGGTCACTTCTAAGTCAAGGCACATCTGTATTTTCTGCATCCACACTCACCTCTTGGTAGTACTTAGTCAATGAAAGCCCTTATTAAATATCTGACTAAATAAATACCTTGGAGTGACAACAAGTGCTTGAGAACACAACCCACTGAAGTGTAGTACTGGGAGATTTTTAAAGTGCAGTAAAATACCTCCAGTGAACAATGTAAAGTAGTGTTCTGGAATGCGTCTAAGAGAAGTGCTCTATTTGAGTGAAATTCCTGCCAAAACAATTAAAATTTGTTTTGTGCTTTTGAACAAAATTTGATGAAAAACAAGTGAAACGTTTCCCATCACAATTGCAAAATGGAATTGCATTGTCATTGATATTGGCTTAAATACAAGTACTTGTAATCGGTCTAACAAGCAGTATTAGTAAAATCCTAATATTGACAAAAAAGTTCTTTTTTTTTTTTTTTCTTGCCATGAAGTTGCATGTCAACAAATGTTTTCTCTTAAGTTCCTGTAGGATGAAAATTCAGCATCATTCCATCATCATTAGATAATTGCTTTGAAAAATAATAGTGAACCCATGAGTTTGTTCTTGACAGTACCCGTTTAAATATGATTCTCTTTCCCTACAGCATACACAGCTCAATATTGCAAATGTGTTGAATTGCGTTTATGAGCATCGTCAAGCTCTTTTTTGTGGTTTTTCCCTACATGAAGGCCACCTAAGTGTATTTTTGAACAGACCGTAATGCTGTTCCCCCCCCCCCCCTACAAAATGCCATGATTTTGCTGCAATGTGCTAAGAGCAGCTTTGTTTCCATGGTGACAGAGAACATGGTGAGGGGATTGGACGATGATGAGACCAGCTTCCTGGATGAGGTTTCCCGGCAACAGAGCTTGGTGGAGAAGCAACGCAGGGATGAAGAGAAACAGGAACTGTTGGAATACAGAATATCCTTTTGATCATGTCAACATTTTATTTGATCAGTGTCATTGTGGCTAACTCGGTAGTCTTATTTTAGCCCCTTTACACCACACTGGCCATCTGAGATGACTTTTTTACACCTTTACCTGCTTGCGCACCTGTGTGGAAGATACACTATGTCATGGTTCCTGTGGATCCTTAAAAAGTCTTAAAAGGCATTAAATCCATGAATGCAAAAACAAGGCCTTAATTGGCGTTAAAATGTCTTAAAGCGAACTTTCAAAAGTCTTATCAATGTTATTTAAAAGTAGCATTTCATTATTGTAAATGGTCTCTATGAAAATAAGTAAACATTCTTAAAAGAATAATTTACCGAATGACTCTTGTAGTAGCATCACGCAGTGATGATAGCAGAACCAACAAAACACTGATGTGTTTTTAGTTGGAACTGTGGAGTGGAAATGCACGTTATTTATGGACTCGAGCAACTTTGGACAACATGGGACATTGGGAACATTGCTTGGTCTCACATCAGGAAGCAGAAACAGGTCCAACATATCGCCGTGAGTGAGGTGTGGCCTGCTGTGAGACCCAACATAACAAAAAAAAAAAAAAAAAAAAAAACAGATGAAAAGTTCAAGTACGCCATTAATAATATAATGGGAAAATGACACCAGAACAGAAGTATTTACACCCGTAGTTGCTTGATGGTACCTCAAAATGTATGTCCTGCACCATATGACCATCCTGCATGTTCAGCGTTCTTTATATTTTCTTCCCCGTCCACAGAAGACAACCAGTTTGTCTGTAAAAGGCAACAAAGTGGGTTGTCCTGGAAACTGCATCGTCATGTGGTAACGAAGCTTGCCATTTCAAGCAGTCTTGCTGCTTTTAGGAGCTCACAAGGATTCATTTAAACCTCATACATCCTGTGCCCAAATGTGTGTGAATGAATGAATTGATGTTGTGGTGTGAATCCCCTGAGCTATGCCTACTTTTTTTTCTCCCTGTTTTAGCCCTCTAATCTGTGTCACTTCCCAGTCCTGTTCTTAGCCGCTCTGCATTTATTGGAGTGTAATGCTGGTCTGCTTTCATATCTGCCGCATGTTATGATATCCGCCGTTAGAATGTTTCTTGTGGTGTCACAAAGGTTCATTGACCTTAACTCTATGTCATCACAGTGCTGTGGCAAAGCAAGTATCCTCTGACAGCCGCCCAGAGTCTGAGAAGAAGGCAACAGCTAAACAATCAGTGGTGGAGCAAAGGACCAGCCATTTGTCTCAAGCCCATTTACTGGCTGGTGCTGTCAAGAGACGCAGGTATGCACACACACAAATGTTTTCTTCTTCCGTATTTTTGCGACCATATTGCGTACCGAATTAAAAGACTCAGTCCCAGTTAGTATATGCTATTTGTATATTTGTGTACATAAAAGGGGCATTGGACGCAGGCATGGTCAAACATACACTACCTTAAAAGCATGGATGTACACTAGTGTAGTTTTTTTTTTTTTTATAGAGGCATATCGGGGCAAAAGTGAGTTTGGTTCTACTTTATTGAAGTATTGAACAATGTAGTCATGTTATTGTGATTATTATTATTATTTTTTTTTTTTGTCAAAGTCATCATCTTCTGTTTCCAAAATGAACAGCTGAGCAAGTTCTCCATCGAACATGCCAAGAACCCTTGTCAGTCAGTCACGTTGCCATGCACCTTTCTCAGAAATGATGACGGCTTTTGCGAAAGCTCCAACAGTGCAAGCAGACACATTATCGCAAGCGTTCACAATCCATTCACAAATTGTGGCGTACCTCGCCCGGCGCCGCCTCCCAGTCTTAGTAAAGCTGTGTTCGCCATCGCTCCCACGCCACTCGCAACTTAACTTTGAACACTTTGCCCAGCGGTTGGAGTTCGTTCGTCAAGCCTCCCGGAATGATGGCAAGCTCCGAGTTCATTTGTTGCACTTGGCCTTTCACAGTGGCTGTGAGATGGCCTCGCATGGGGTCACAGATCAACAGGGATGGTGACGCTTGGGAAAAAAGAAACCCAAAAACATCCAGTCTCTTTAGGTACACTTTGCTCAGGCACTCTCTCATTTTCTCCTCATCCATCCAGGCATTTTGATTGGCCTTAACGATTACTCGGGCTGGAAACTTTTCTTTCGGCAGCGTCTTCCTCTTAAAAATCACCATAGGTGGCAGTTTCTGTCCATTAGCATGGCAAACAAGCACAACAGTAAAAGCCAACTTGTCGTGCCCCGTTGTGCGTATCGTTCCCGTTCTGGTCTCCTTCTTTACAGTGTGGTTCAACAGGCTGCAGCCAGACCCTTCTCATTCTTTTCACACTGTACTCACTCAGTGTAAAAGGTCTGCGCAACAGTGTGCCAATATTTATTGACATGTGCAGCCTACCAGGAAGTAAAAAGTTTGACATTTGCAGCTGGTTTAGATGAGAAGTAGAGCGCACCTTGACAACATCTTTTGATCCTGATGAATGCACTGTATTTATCAAGGCTCATGCCGTTCCCTTTAAATAAGTCAGCCAAAGTAGCAGTAAATCGCTCTACCAGCACCTCTACTATTGGACGCCCTTTCTGATGTCACGGTCAGGCGGTTGACGAATACAACATTTTAAAATTTGAGGCGCCTTGCTGTTGTGGCAAATGTCCTCCAACCGCTCCCTTTCATTGATATTGTGTCCTCTGGGCCAAAGAGGAAAAGGAACATCTGGATTGTTTGCTATCAGTGCAAAATTCAAAAGCAAGTGTCTGTGACGATATGGGGTTGTATTACTGGCCAGAGCATGGATAACTTGCACATTTGCGAACGCTTTGCAAATTTCCCCAATGTGGCACAAATAAAGGTTATCTTATTATTATTTATTTTTTTTGCTGAAAGATACTTACCGGTTTTGGAGCAAGCTATGCAAAGTCTTTTTCAGGGATGTCCCTGCTTATTTCAGCAAGATCATGCCAAGCCAAATTCTGCATGTGTTACAACAGCATGACTTCGTCATGAAAGAATGCAAGTACGAGAGTGGCCTGCCAGCAGCCCAGGCATGTCTCTCATTGAAAATGTGTGGCACATAATGAAGTGCAAAATACAACAACTGAGACACCGGACTACTGAGTTCCTGAAGTCTGAAACAAGGCATCCTCAACTCCCAAACAGTGTTGTTAAAAGGCACAGTGATGTTTGTAAAATAGCGGTAAACATGCCACAGGCCATCGAAGTGAATTGGGTGAATATTTGCAAAAAAAAAAACCAAAACGAGGTTTATCAGTTATAACATTAAATTTGTCTTTGTAGTGTGATTCAATGAATATACCTGTAGGTTGAACAGAATTTGCAAATCTGAGGTGTACCATCTTTTCTTTCCATCTTAACACTCTGTCTTGTCTTACCTGAACCAGTTCTTCACAGTCATCCGACAGCAGTAAGAAGCAGAAGGTGGAAAGCACAGCAACAGGAAATGGAGACAGACATACAGGTGGGCATCAAGCATGAGGCCTAAAACTGTGTTCATACCTAGTTCAAATGAATAACAAGTTACCTCAGTACAACTCTTGCTTTGTGATTGTTTTGCGCATTTTAACACGACAAAACACCTTTGGAGTGATACATGTAGAAGCAATAGATGTGTTAGCCGTGTTAGCCAGCTCTTGACCCTCAGCGTCGCACTTCACAGGCAAATAAAACAACAAACGTCCTATGATAATAATGAGCCAGCTATCAAGAAAAGTGCAGTGGTGCCTCATTTTATGGATTTAATTCATTCTGTGGCCCCGTTTGTAACTCGACAATCGTGAATCAAGGTACATTTTCCCATTAGGAAATGCAATTAATCCGTTCCAGCCCCCATATTATATTTAAATTTTATGATATATGTGTCTGTGCTGCTCAAAAAAATAAATAAGAATAAGGAAACCTTTATTTGTCTCACAATGGAGAAATTCCCAATTTACAGCAGCAAAGTTATGAGAGGAAAAAAGTAGAAGAACGAAAAGTATAGGAGCTGCTGTAAAGGCAGCCACTCTCGGTGCCATCTTGAAATCATAATAACAACAAAATAATACAACACAACACATGAGACACAGTATTCAATCTTAACACAACACAGTGTAACTCCAAGTTTTCCTTTTAAGTGTTCCCTTTATATTTTTGAACGTACAGTATCAAGATATTTATACATCTTTTTTTATACATACATATTTTTGACACAAAAAACTGTAAGAATCTTGTCTTTGTTTGTCATGTTTATGGCGTTAAGAATACGAATAAGAAAACCTTTATTCGTTTCGCAATGGAGAAATTCCCAGTTTACAGGAGCAAAGTTATGAAAGGAAGAAAGTTGAAGAACAAAAAGTATAGGAGCAGCTGTAAAGGCAGCCACTCTCAGGGCGCCATCTTGAAGTCATAACAACAAAATAATACAACACAACACATAAGCTACAGACAAGGCAGCCGCTGTTGGAATTGTGGCAGGAAGAAGCCTGTGTGTGGGCGGAACTTCCGGTTGCACACACAACAGCTTGGTCCTGCGTGGAGCAGACATTAAGTTTTGTTTTTTTTTCTCAATGTAATACACATTTGCTCATGTTTTTGCCACATTAATCTGAAATCTAGGCAACCGCTGTTAGAATTGTAATTGGAAGAGACTGTGTGTGTGTGTGTGTGTGTGTGTGTGTGTGTGTGTGCGTGCGTGCGTGCGTGCGTGCGTGCGTGTGCGCGCGTGCGCGCGCGTGTGTGTGCGCGCGCGCGTGCGCGCGTATAAGCGGAACTTCCACATGACAGGTTGCTATTTGCTGCCGCAGAGGAGACATTGAGGCTATGATTTTGGGGCGCCAACCGTAACCTTTATTATTCTGAGGTCGAATAAGGAGTTTAAAAAAAATCTATTTAATTGATCACTTGCCTGATCTACGAGCAGAAATCTACAGAGTTTTTCTGTTGTTATGAATGGCAACAGATGGATACCCAACTTCATTGTACCTGATGCCACCTAATAGAAAAGCACATATTTTGTCTGCCTTTCCATATCCGTTGCTGGTATTGATGAACAAAGGTATTTGTTATTAATAAATGAGAAATTTCAGGCAACCGAAATGAAAGTGGATCATTTCCTTTCTTCTGAGTTCCATGTTGAGTTTAAACTCTCAGTCTTGACAGTAAATTGTGTTGTTCAGAGCAGGAGGCAGGAGGAGGGCGAAGACCAGCGGGAGCTGAAAATCAACAAACTGTCACGGGCCTGACGCCCAAGAGCCCATCGACCCCCCTTAATTCCAGTCCGGCTCTGCTTCACCTGCCCTCGGCGGCAGTGTGCATCGGCGTCCTCCCGGGCCTCTGCGATTATTCGGGCAGCAGCGACTCTGACAGCAGCTCGGACAGCGAAGGTAGCGTGGATGTAATCATGTTGCCGTACCCGAGGCACAGCAGAGCCAATAGATAGTCTGTTTCACACCCGATAATCTGACACTTGCACACATTCATACAAAACATTGCATTGTTCTTAGAGTTATCCCTACAATGTCACAAGAAATTAGTAGTCATCATTATGAAAGGAAGTATACAGTTTACCATACACTGGTGAGTACTCAAAGGTTTCCACAAGCTTTCTGTGCTATTATCCTTGGCTAATAACTAACAGTAACATTGCTGTTAGGGATGGGCCTGATAATTAATGGTCAATTAAACATTTGTTTTGAATATTGTTGATTGTGTGGAAGTGTTAATTGTATCGTAAAGCAGTTGAGGCAAAATCGAGTGCACCACTTTGTTGCAACCAACCATTTCATTCTTTGTTCCAACCATGTAGAAGGTAGCCTGAGAGCTTCACTTTAACTTAATTTTAACAGCATGTCTCCTCATACATTGTACTTACGCCCACCTCAAGTGGAACAATTCAGCAGTCAACCTGGGGTCACACTCGCAAACTAATTATCGTCTTGAATATCATTACATAATAATCTCTTTCGAAATGACATCCCAGAATAAATAGGAACATATCACAAAATCTTTAAATGTGATTCATCTTAGTCTTTAACAAAACAAACTGTAAAAGTGCAATCTTCATATAATAAAAGAATATGGAAATAGAATTTAACCCCAAATGATTAATGCACTTTACTCTCTCTTTTTATTTTACTTCAATTAGGCTGTGCACGAACCAGAAATCTCCACGCCGATGTATCTTACTGCATGTTTCAGTTTCATCAAACAAAAAAAGGGTCGTATTTTTCGGACTATTAAGTCACTTTTTTTTTTCATAGTTTGGCTTGTCCTGAAACTCATACTCATGTAAATGTTTATATATAAATATTACAGCTCGAATTTAGAGCCAAAATTCCCAATCCCTAATTGTATCAACGACAATCAACAAGTGGTTGGATTTGAAACTTGCGCTTCTAACTATGGAAACGTTTTTCTTTTTACTTTAAAATGGCTTACCTTGACTAGAATCCCTCATCGCATTGTGGCCAAAGGTTGAAACATGGTTGTTGTTTTTTTTTTTTTTGGTGCTGTAAAGACAAAATCCTTCCGGTCAAGAAAAACTTCTCCATAGTGAGAAGCAAAGTTTTGAATCCAACAATAAGTCGTTCAGCGTCTCCACCATGATTAGGGAAGGGGGATTTTGGGTGATAGTCCATGTTCTACTGTCCTTGGTCTTGGTTTCTGTAAAATAAATTCCTCCCCATCCAAAAAAATGTGATTTATCATCCAGTGTGGACCCCCCTTCTTCAAAATGCATTTTTTTGATGGGTGCCATTTATAATCTGGAGTGATTTATAGTCTGAAAATATGGCACACTCAACTTGTTTGCTGTCCATAAATGACAGCAGATATTATAACCTGCGGCACATCAGACCTCCGCTATGGCACTTCTCCATGAAAGCTCTATTATACTGTGCAAACAGACGTTTTAAGACATTTAGAAAGACATTCTCCTCTTAAAAATAACAATCGATTACATTGATTTTCCACTTCGAGGTAATTTAAACAGGACCGGTTCCTAATCGTGTTTTCTTTCTTTGTGTTACATCTTGTACCAGTTCCCACAAAATTCTCACGAGAACAGCAGAACGGCAACTTACCCCTTCAGCGTTTCCTGTTATTTTCACATTTACGCTTTTGCAGCCAGGGGGGCAAAATTGAGCAAAATACGTAGTCCAAATAAATGGGAATAGGAAAACCAAGCATTTTAATTGGACACAATCTGTGGAGCTGTTTGTGCTTTTGCTATTGTTGTGCTCAAACGTGATGCTTCTCCCTCAATCACGTCTCATGCAGTTTAGGCAAGCAAGCAAACCCGCACTGCCTACTCCGATGACGTCCCGACCCCCCCACTCTCCCACCCCGTCCCGCACACCTCTCCCAACCCCAAGCCACACTGACGACATGCTGTGCTTTTGGCTGTGGGAAAAGTGATTGACTGCTGTGGAGGAAGGAAAAGACTTCTTTCATTCGCATATCACATAACTCGTACCATTGTAGCTACCAGCAACAGACTAGTGAGGTGCGGCAGGAGACACTCTTCTTTGAGTCCCATGCAGTCAGACCTATGTTGGAGAATAATGGAATGTGTGTCATTTGTCCCAAAGTCACGGAATTCAGGGAAGATGTTCATCTGTTTACTCCTGCCCCAGACTCCAAAGAGAAATAAAAAGCTTTCTGTTTTAGTCGGTTTCTGTGTGTGTATTATAAATGTATCCCATTGATGGAGTACATTGTAATAGTGGAGTTTTTTTTGTTTTTGTTTTTGTTTTTTTTGGCCAGTATGCTTCACCAACAGGCTGTTATGAGAACTCAAAGACCGGGGTTCGGCAACCCGCGGCTCCAGAGCCGCATATGGCTCCTTACCGCCGCCCTAGTGGCTCCCTGGAGCTTTTTCCAAAATGTTTGAAAATGGAAAAAGATGGGGGAGAGAAATATATGTTTTGTTTTAGTATGGTTTCTGTAGGAGGACAAACATTCTCAACGTTTTCCAATGCTGTAAAAATGTGTGGAATAAAGATTAAATTTAAAAATTTCTGTCAGCGAAGATTTGCGTAATCGCCTGCGACACACGTTTCTATTAGCAGGGCGGGATGCCAGGCAGGTGGCTGTTGTAAGGGAAAAAAAAAGCGTTTCATGTAATTCATCGAGGTTACTGGCAAATAATGGGAAAACGGAAAGGGCCGAGAGAAGCATTTGAAAATGGTCCACCTGAACTACGATAGTGAACACGCTGCACAAGTGCCACCGTGTCAGGTCTCGACGAAGGTACGCATTGATTTTCACAAACTCGTGTCTACTTTCAGTTTCGTTCATCTTCGGGGCCGTTGTGGCTGTTGCTCACGATGGCATGCGTGTGTGTGGTTACGGGTCGGAGGGAGGTCGGTTGATCAAAAAATAGATCTTTGGTCAAAAAAGGTCGCCCCCCCCCCCCCAGAAAAAAAGGGCCCCCCCCCCCCCCCCACCGTTCTACAGGGTGCACTGCAGGGAAAAAAAAATCATGAGGCTCATTGTGTGTTTGTAGCTAATTAGCCATTTTGATAGTAGGCTAATCTAGCTCATATAGATACATACAGCGTCTGTTGCCTTCATTATCAGGCTTTAAATTTTTTACGTCTCCAGACATATTTGTTTGGGGTGGGGGGGTCCAAGATGGCTCTTTTAACATTTTGGGTTGCCGACCCCTGTGTTAAACAACCATACATAAGACCTCGTTTTGTTTATGAACCCAAGTGCTGTCACAGACACAACCTTACAAAATGAAGCGCAACACATTTAGTTCAGAGACGTTGCAATGTATATTTTAATAATTGTATAATTACACACGTCTGCACTGCATAATACAATAAAAATATTTACTGTTAGCTTATCAATACATATTACAACATCATAAATATACAGTGCAATCTCAGACTGTATCGCAAACTGCTCGTGCACATTCTGACTCGCCTTCCTCAAATAATGATGCCTTCAAGGTGTGACAAAATGTTTGTTTCAATACAGTATGTACAAAAATCTGTAACACCTAATGCAAATCAACCCTACATGCGTTTTATGGTCTTTGTTCATTTGTAAACGGTGACTGGCAACATGCAGGATGAACCAAAGCCGTAACACTGAACTGGAAAAATGGTCTCACGTTGAAGAGCAGCATTCCACAGCTGCGTTTTAGTGCTACAGCTGCCACCGCAGCAGCTTCACCTCCTTCCATTCACACTGAACGCCTTCTCTAGCTCAAATTAAGGAACAAGTGCGCTGGGTTCACTACAAATCAGCCTTCTTTCAAATTGACCGCTACCTGAAAAAAATCTCTGTCCGACCACTGATATTGATTTCAGCCAAGCGGATTTAACACCACAATGTTGTTAGAATCACAAGGCAAAAATCACAAGACACATGCAGAAAGCAAACCACTAACATTCTCAACAATAAAAAAATAAAAAATAAAAAAAAACAATCTTTCCATGAAAATGATCAGTGTTGCACCTGTGGTTCAAACGTGCTTTTATCACAGTTCTTGAAAACCACCATTTCTGCGCTCTTTGAAAGCAAAACAAAAAAAAATTAAAAAATGAGGACAAGGTTGTCTTCCCCATTTGAGGTATTTGCCCACGGCAGACACACACAAGACTTTCAATTTGCACTGGCAGTTGACAGAAAAGCTATTTTACAGTGTGAGCTGTCATCTTCTCACTTATCTCACTCCGGCGCCGGGTTGGTGGGTGGGAGGTTCCTCTGTTTAAAGTACTGAGTGACCTGCTGAGGCAGCTCTGCCAGGACAGACTTGGCGAGGGTCTCCTTTGGTGCCTTAGTGAAGGAGAAAACAGGCAAACGTACGTCCAATGCTAAAGAGAACTGTTTCCAGGTTATCATATCACGTGCATGAGAATCAGAATCATCTTTTTTGGCCAAGTATGTAGATACATGCATGAGAATCAGAATCATGTTTTTTGGCCAAGTATGTAGAACACACGAGGGATTTGTCTCCAGTAGTACAGGCTACGCTAATAGTATCAATAACAAGCAACTACGATCAACAAGGACATGACAAAATGTATATTATGAGCATTTGTGGCTTAAATGCGTCTTGGCTCTTTAATAGCAGTTCCTCTTGAGGTTTTATTTGATTTAAAAGTGGCATGGCTTCGCTGACGATGGGATATACGATTTGGGCATGAAAGACAGAGGATTCAGACTGCTCGTGTGTTTTGTTTGCAGAAATATCCCGTGTGACTTTTTGTGCATTTAAATGCAACACAATACAACTACTATCACCTATATCAGAGTATAACGCACCAGACTATTGTATTGAAATTCATCGTACTCTTGCAAGTCGACACTTTGAACCAGTCATTGATGGTGGAATGGTTTACTCCTGGTCTGGACAAGTGCTGCAGCCCATCCCAGCTTACAGTGGGCAAAAAGCAGACTACTCCCGGTACTATTTGAAATCAATCATAGGGCACATATAGAAAAACAATTCACACTCACATTCAAACCTTTGGAGACTTTAGACTCTTCACTAAATAAACCTAACATACATATTTTGGGATTGACAGTTGTAGCTATCCTCCCCTCTAGGTGATTGTCAGGTAGGGTAGTTGGAATCAGTATTTGATGATAGTTGGAGCATTTCTAATATTTTGCCCCCCTTCTACCAGTATATGATGCCGTAGAAAAATCAGAGTGTTCCATGTCTCTCGCCCAAGTCAACTATTATGGGCTCCAGCTCACTGTAAGACAAGCTTTCGGAAATGGATGGATTAATCGGGCAAACTAAATTCCAAAGGTTTCACGCAATTATTTGACGAAAGAAACTGTTGGGAAAAGGGGCGAGGACTTTGAAATAGAAACATAAAAGGCGAGAAGATAGATTGTGTATGTGTCAAATCCCTCATGAAATCTTCAGTGCTATTCTTTGTGTGTCTTTCAATGTAGCCTAGTTGGGATAAAGTAGTTGCTACGGCGGCAATATCCACTGTAACCTTGAAGTGTTGCTTGTTCACAAGCATACATTTGTATGCCACTTTAGCTAACCTCTAAATTGTGCCTTTTATAACTCCTCAACAACCACTGAGCCAACTCTAGTCTCATGACTCCAGGAGCTTCTTGGATTTGTACTTGGTATCACCAAAAAAAAAAAAAAAAAAAAGGCATCAAATTCAACGTCCTGCTTGAAATGCATCCTTTCAAAAAAAAAAGCTTTTTTTCCTCAGAATTTTTCTTGGAAATTAGTCTTTTCAAGAAACCTCCCAATGTTCAACTGCTGTTGACAAAAGAATGGTAAAAGGTAGTAATTTACTTTTTTTTCTGAATGAAAGAAGAGGGTTTAAGCTTTTTTTTGGTAGGTTCCATACTTATATGGAAAGAGAACTCAATTTTTTTCTGTTGGCCTTCAAAAATTAGTCAAAATGGTCCAAAATGGCTGGCTCTCCCGATTTGAGAAAAACGGCTGGCCATGAATGGGTTGAGGTGCACGTTTGATCCCTGAAACAGATGAATTTACTTCACACTCGGGGCATTCATTCTAAATCCAGAATGGAACTTATTGGAGGTGAGTTTTGACGCTCTGCTGTAAATGTTTCATCAGCATGTGTTGCGTTGGGCAAAATCCTATCGTACAGTTAACCTCTGCCAGGATCCGATTCTAGAGACCATGCAACTGCTTTAGTGCTCAGGCTGAAGTGAATACTCACATTACGAAAATCCCGAAAGGGGACAAACTGCACAATGTCTCGAACAGCCTCCTCGCCGGTGTTGGACCTCAGCATGCTGGCGTCTCCATCCAAAAACTCCATGGCAGCAAAGTCCGCATTGCCCACACCGATGATAATAATGGACATGGGCAGCTTGGATGCCTGAACAATTGAATGACGCGTCTCATCCATGTCGCTGATGACACCGTCTGTTATAATGAGGAGAGTGAAGTACTGCTGCACAGACAGAAAGGTGGTAGAAGGAGGATTTAGGATAGAAAGAAAAAGAAAAAACTCAAAATTGGAATTTTGCTTAGACTCACTAAGTGGGTCAGTTATGTTTCTGATGATTGACATGCTGTATATCCTGCAGTATGTGCCCGGGATTGTTCGGAGTGAAAATAGGCAAGAGAATTAATATGAGAGAGATGAGAGTCAAAATGAGAATCCAGTAAAGAGGAAAAAGAAAAAGAAATGAAACCACTTCTGCATTAGAGCAAGTTGGGCTCCGTTCACACTACAGACCGCACCATCTGTTCAGGCATAGCAATGATGGTGGCATTAAATGAGAGAAAAACAAACTCAGGAGAAAAGGGGATGCAGCTTCACTAGAACACCGAAATGTCAACATTCCTGTATATAACGATTGCTTTTAGTCATACAGACATGAAGTATGCATCCAGTGTGTTGCATTCATAATTGTCTGTGTGTGCACGCGTGTGTAAACGGCATAAGGATGTCAATCACAATTTTGCAAGCCTTCTGTATGCGACTCCTCCCATGATTTTAAATAAATAAATGCATCCCCCCCTAGCCAAGTACTTCAACACCTCACTCACGCTCTGAGCCCGCGATATATACCGTAAATATGCAAATGTAACATTTTTGACGATGAAATGATGGACAACATCGAACAGCGCGGATCAGAAAAGGATAATTGAAAAGTACTGTTTATTTGGTTCCAGATCGTAGCAGAGCCTGCTTCACGACCAGCCATCCAGATGTCCTCATTTTCGCACCACTTTACATGTTTACGGCACCTGGCATTTAGGTTTAATATTTAGCATACACAGGGGCCCAAAATTTCATTTGAAAAACTAATTTTTGCAAACTGAAACATTTTTGCTATATGACTCACTGTGCACATAAATAGTTGAAGTAGAACAACAGAGTAGTTGCTGTTTTGCTTTTGCAAAAAAGCAAAGCATGAACATACAGTACAGTAGCTCATTGTGTCTTTATTCTGAGTCATATTTCTCCCTTTTTGTTTTCTCATTTAGGTTCTAAATACTGCATGCTACAATAATTTCTGTGGTGTTTTAGAATTTGACTCTAGTCGTTGTTAGACCCCATTAGTTAATTTAGGAACCAAAGCAAGTTTCGTTCATCTAAGGCAGTGATTTTAATTTTATTTATTTATTTTTTGAGCCAGGTACCACCAAACCAGCGCATTTATGGATGAAAACACTGATGTGCAATCAGTGTCTTGATTTATTAAACTTTGGAACTCCATATGTAGTGATATCCCTGCAACTTTCGGGAAATTTAAAAAAATATCAAGAAAAATAATTTGTCATAAAGATTTGTGTGCATAAAAATCATTCTCAGTCTAATGCGTTCACAGATCTGTCCTCAAAAAGAAATTGTTCACTTATTTTTAAATAAAAGCAGAAACTGCTTAAAAAAAACAACTAAAATATCTATTTAATAATTAAAAAGAAGACTGACAACAGCACCAACTGTCAGCACTGAACATTGCATTGTTGCACTGAAATGTGTTTGTTCATTTTGTGAGGATCGTCGTCTTTGGCAGCAAGGAGGCAACTGCTGTGATGAAGCTCTTTTTGCATGGATGCTACTTTTTAAATAGATTTTAAAATCTCATAAACCTCAAGTGCCTTCATGTACCACCAATGGAGAACCACCAATCGAAAAGATGTAAATTACAGACCCGTATTTTTCACACTAAACACTTGCCACTTTGTCACGGGCAGCCATAAATCAAATACGAACTTGTTCTCAGGAAGAACACCGCCATGAGGTTAAGATGAGCTTACAAGACAATTTTGTTAACAGAGGTCACGAAGACAGCCGCTGACTGAAGTCAAAGCTCCAATTGATGTTACTGACAAACGCGCATCCGGGGGGGATCAGAAGCTTGCCTCTTTAATCGACAAACAGCAGCTCTGATTCGAGAGTGGTGATCACGCGCAGAGCCTGGGTTGCTGACACACTGTGCCATGCGAACCACTTAGAACGCCAGCTTGCGTGTGTGTGTGTGTGTGTGTTTGTTTGTGGGTGTGTGTGTGTGTGGGTGTGTGTGTGTGTGTGTGTGTGTGTGTGTGTGTGTGTGTGTGTGGTAGTCATACAAGTACACAGAGTCACTGGTCACAGCCAGTCGCAGGCTCATTATCTGAGGGACTGAAACATTGATATTCGGACATTGAGCCAGCCACGTAGCAAGCGACCCAGCCGGATGCTACTTGAGTCGAGTCGCAGAGTGTGGGTGCTTCTGCAACTTGTTTTTATGAGTTGCCGACAGTGTTTGACTAGTTTGTGTGAATGCTGCCACATTACAGATGCAATCGCAAATTGAATGACCACATGTGATCATGAAGAGCAAATAATACATTTGTGGGTACTACTAAATGAGATCAATGTTGTGATTATAGTATACTGTATTGGGTTGACCGTATTTTCCGCACTATAAGGCGCACCGAAAAGCATTCCATTTTCCCAAAAGCAGCCAGTGCACCCTATAATCCGATGCGCCTTATATATGGTTTTAGTACAGTCGCTTTCTATTCCCCATTGAGTTGTTTCCCTGTTCGTGTTCTTATGCCATCTAGTGGTGATTATTAGCAGTAACCACTTGTAGCATAAATGGGTTCTGCCCAACACTAATTGACATGTTCATTCGCCAACACACTCAAACAAACAAGACGGCTACTTTGTGAGCTTTGCGCAGCCATTATGAAACAGATAATTCCAAAAGCATCGTTACCTACTGACTAAATGAAGGAAGAAGGAGACAAGCAAGACTTATAAGGATATTTAGGCCCTTGTGAATGTGAGCCCACAAGGTTTGTGTGCCTTTTTGTTGAATCAATTGTCTTCATGTTTGTCTTTCATTTATTGCTATTTGTACTTATATGTTTCATGTCCGTGTTCTTGACCAGTTGTCACAGTTGCCAATAAATAAAATGTGCATTATTATGGACTTTGTGCCATGCTTCATGCCTCATCCTGAGGGACCTACATCTGGATCAATATTCTAAAATATCAGTATTTTAAATGTTCTGTCAAGCGCTTTGTTACAGCTGCAGCAGTTGTGAAGACTCCATATAAATAAAGCTGCATTGTATTGTATTGTATTCGCTTTAGCGTAGCTCTAGCTAGTGGATGTATAGTCCCACCGCAGCCAGGGCTTGATAGATAGAAAGCTGGATTGTATTCCATTTAGCGTAACTCCATCTAATGGATGCAAAACACAACCGCAGCAACTGTTGTAGCTTCTATTCTATGTGCCTTATAATGCGGTGCACCCTATATATGAAAACTGTTTTAAAATAAGCCATTCATTGAGGGTGCACCTTGGATTCAGAAGTGCCTTATAGTGCAGAAAATACGGTAGTTTTGTTTGTTCATTTAAGATTGGATATTTAAGATGTCATCTGTTTGCAGCATCACTGATATGCTCTAAAATATTTTGTTTGTTTGGCTTATATATGGTGTTAGTACAGTCGCTTTCTATTCCCCATTGAGTTGTTTCCCTGTTCGTGTTCTTATGCCATCTAGTGGTGATTATTAGCAGTAACCACTTGTAGCATAAATGGGTTCTGCCCAACACTAATTGACATGTTCATTCGCCAACACACTCAAACAAACAAGACGGCTACTTTGTGAGCTTTGCGCAGCCATTATGAAACAGATAATTCCAAAAGCATCGTTACCTACTGACTAAATGAAGGAAGAAGGAGACAAGCAAGACTTATAAGGATATTTAGGCCCTTGTGAATGTGAGCCCACAAGGTTTGTGTGCCTTTTTGTTGAATCAATTGTCTTCATGTTTGTCTTTCATTTATTGCTATTTGTACTTATATGTTTCATGTCCGTGTTCTTGACCAGTTGTCACAGTTGCCAATAAATAAAATGTGCATTATTATGGACTTTGTGCCATGCTTCATGCCTCATCCTGAGGGACCTACATCTGGATCAATATTCTAAAATATCAGTATTTTAAATGTTCTGTCAAGCGCTTTGTTACAGCTGCAGCAGTTGTGAAGACTCCATATAAATAAAGCTGCATTGTATTGTATTGTATTCGCTTTAGCGTAGCTCTAGCTAGTGGATGTATAGTCCCACCGCAGCCAGGGCTTGATAGATAGAAAGCTGGATTGTATTCCATTTAGCGTAACTCCATCTAATGGATGCAAAACACAACCGCAGCAACTGTTGTAGCTTCTATTCTATGTGCCTTATAATGCGGTGCACCCTATATATGAAAACTGTTTTAAAATAAGCCATTCATTGAGGGTGCACCTTGGATTCAGAAGTGCCTTATAGTGCAGAAAATACGGTAGTTTTGTTTGTTCATTTAAGATTGGATATTTAAGATGTCATCTGTTTGCAGCATCACTGATATGCTCTAAAATATTTTGTTTGTTTGGTTTGGACCACTTCTGCATTAAATTTATAGCCGCATAAAAAGGCATCATGTTCTGATACTTTGATTCAAATGAAAAGAAAATTGACAGTTTGGATGTGCTCTGTTAGATATCGATGGAGACCTGGGGCCCTATTTTCTTACCCAGTGCAAGTCTACCAGTCAAGCAGCCTAATTGTGCGCAAGGAGGGAGTTTTCTCTTTCTTTTTGTTTTGCAACGCTGTGGGAGTGAATATAACCGGCAATTTGCTTCCCACCCATTGAAATCAGCACACCAGAGGCGCACAGTCTTTTGACAGTCTCTGGTCTGTTTTATGTTTACAAATATGTTAATAATATTTAAAATGTAAGATGTTTACAATGAATCAAAATGCCTGGTTGAATCAAATGATCATACATGCCGTGCACAGCTGTGTTTGTGTGACTAGTAGTGCCAAGGAGTACTGCGAGTATTGAAACTTTTTTTTTGGGGGGGGGCAATAAATTAAGAACTGTCATTTGGTTTGGGAGGTCCAGTCGTCAAATGTAATTTGTTTTCGTAGTTCAACCGCCTTGCTTTGTGTGCGGCTGGCAGCCTTTGACCCAACTTTAAGGAAGCACGCAAACACAGGTGTGGATGATCGATAGATGCTGGTGCTCAGGCTACCAAATGACATTTTCTGTTACCTTAGATTCAAACAAAGTTTGATATAAAACGAGATAGGCCCGTAGTCATAACAAAAATATATATCGTGGCACACAACCTGTTTTGGCATTTTAACCCATGGATTTGTTCTCTGCTTGTGTGACATGGTAAAATGTGTTTAGTTTTTTTACATGAATGATGCCAGTCAAAGAAACAAGGTAACTGAGCCAGGTGCTCTGACTTACATTTTACATGAGCTTCTTCTGACCACATTGTATTCCTATACCAAGTAATTAATTTCTCACACATACCTTTCTTCCGCATGTATTTACCCATGTTTAATGAGAATTAATTGGAATTATTAACCCTGTCAGGGACAGCGGTTACGACAGTGGACCGCCTATCATATTATCAGGTTGCAGGTTATCATTTTTGGTGCATGAAAGGGTTAATCGAGGTGTCACTTCTTACCTCATTGACGTCACCTATAAGTGCATGCAAAGATGTGTCAAATAGACACTCAATCAGTACAACAATATTATACTCAACAAAGTCTCATACTCAACAGAGTCTCATTCAACTCTTCACGATAAAGACGAACACAAGCAAGGATTCCGTATTTTTTAACACAGTAAGGAACACTTGCTGTTGCACATTTTGTGTACGTTTTTGAAAATTGTCACATACATACATCCATTTTACGATCTGCTTTTATTTTTATTTCACAAGGGTCGTGGGGGTTGCTGGAGACTATCCCAGCTGTCATCAGGCAGTAGGCGGGGGATACTCCGAACCGGTTGCCAGCCAATCGCAGGGCACACAGATACAAACAACCATCCGCGCTCACACTCACACCGAGGGACAATTTAGAGTGTTCAATCAGCCTGTCATGCATGTTTTTGGAATGTGGGAGGAAACCGGAATACCCGGAGAAAACCCACGCAGGCCTGGGGAGGACATGCATACCCCACACAGGAAGGCCAGAGCATATATATAGTTTCTTGAACATGACAATGAGTTCACTGTACTCAAATGGCCTCCACAGTCACCAGATCTCAATCCAATAGAGCATCTTTGGGATGTGGTGGAACGGGAGATTCGCATCATGGATGTGCAGCCGACAAATCTGTGCCAACTGTGTGATGCCATCATGTCAAAATGGACCAAACTCTCTGAGGAATGCTTCCAGCACCTTGTTGAATCTATGCCACGAAGAGTTGAGGCAGTTCTGAAGGCAAAAGGGGGTCCAACCCGTTACTAGCATGGTGTACCTAATAAAATGGCCGGTGAGGGTATATATATATATATATAAAAAATCCTCGTCTCACCCCTCGGGTGGTGTCCATCCCTCATTCAGCTCGGGTCCTCTACCAGAGGCCAGGAAGCTTG